TTAATTAAGGGAAGGTACCGTAACCCTAACCCTAACGACCGTCGGAAAGTAAAGTAAGGTAAGTTACTTACTAGTACCGACCACAACCACCACACACACACACACACACACACACACACACACACACAAAACACCCAGTGGCAGGGGGACTGAGGCCAGGGGCAGCAAATAATTCAGGGAATCCAGCCCAGCCTGGCCCGAGGCCTTGGGGGAGGGGCCTCTAATTCCAGGCAAAAGACTCCCAAGTCAAGCTTCCCTCTTACTACCTAAACCTGTTCCCAAGCAAACTGGGGGCTATCTCAGTCTGAAGAGCCCTGCTCAGGCACCTGCACCAACCCTGGCTAGCCTGAGAAGCTCAGATTGGGGTCTTATGTAGGGGACAGGGCTTATGACAGTTAGTGGAAGCGCCCACCTCTGGAGCCCTGCAGTCAGTCCCTCCTAGGCCCTATTCTGTGCTACTGGCCACCCCCACTCCCCAAAACACTTGTGGAAGGTTCTCCTGGGGATGACAAATGCCATGGGGTGGGTCAAAGTCAAGATCCAGGAGCAGTGAGGAATGAGGATGCCAAGAGAAGAAAGATCTTCCTCTTCCCATCAATTTCTTCTGCCCCAGCCACCCCACTTCCCCTGCTCCATCTCCATGGGATCTCAGGGGCCCTGGCCCCAGATTCCTCCTCTGGGTCTTCTCTGAGGCCATAGGTCCTCAGGGCAGCTGTTCCCTCCCACTGCAGGTTGCACACTCTTCTTTCCACAGACCTGAGATAAGATCTACCGCCCCATCTCGGAAAGCCTCCAAAGGCGAGATTAATTGGACAGCCCAACACGAGTCGCATCGTTAAAACAACAGCCCAAGTTGTAAAGTTAAGTAGCAGAAGAGTGTAATTACCCTCCCAGCCAGAGGCCAGCGGAGCTGATTCTCTGCCTCCATCCACCCATCCTCCCTTTCCAGGGGAAATGGGAATCCTTTCCCACTTGGGAGCTGGTCCAGTTTCCCAGGGCTCCTGAGTGCCGATGGGACTGGACTTCCCGCAGAAGAGATGCCCTGTGCCCTCCCCACAACCCAGCTGAACTGTAGGAGGAAAACCTGTGGTTTCTTCCTATGAGGATATCTCTCTGAGAAAACTGGGGTGATAAGGGAGTGGGGACACTACCACATGGTTAAGAACCAGTGGCCTCCATAGTCCAGCTCCCCTGTGTGACTTTTGGAAAGTTGCTTAACCTCTCTCTGAACCTCCTTTTTCTCCCCACTAAGATGGGAATACTAAGAGGACCTGCTTCCCAGTGTGGTTGTGATGATGAAATGAGATAGTGCTCGTAACATGCTTGACATGGTGCCTGGAACATAGTAAGCACTTAATAAATGGCGTTCATAGCAGCCGTGATTGTCAGAGAGGCAGGGTCACAGTGAGGGTGAGTTCATACTGCCACTGCCATCTATTCACCTCTTGCCTCTGGCCCTTCTGCCTCCTCAGGGTAGGGAGGAGGAAAAGGGGCTGGAGACTAAACTCCATGCATCACTGGTCACCACCTTTGAGAGCAGGGCACAGACAGCGTCGGGGACCTCTCACCTGCTGGGTCTCAGCCACAGGAAAGCTGACTTGGGGCTGTCCTTCCCTCTCCCCACGTGCTGTTTTAAGACACGTCCCCCCATCACTCCCCCAAGAAAATGAGATTCAATTAATTCAATTAAAGCAATTTTAGAAGCAGCTCCTAAAGTCTTTCAATGTGAGATAATTACAAGTAATTTACCTCTGTGAAGAGGGAAAGGGCGCATGGGGTCTGGGGGGAGAGGCGTTAGCCCCCTCCCCGCCAAGCACACACAGATCTGGAGGGATTCCACACTGCCATCTGAACTGCCCTCCCATTGGCCAAATTACTTGCAGGTGGGAAGAAGGAGCATGTGGTGGTGGGAGGGGGCGGGGAAGACAGAATGACAGTCTGCTCCTCCCCCACTCGCAAATCTGCGCTACGAGGTGGGGGCGGGGAGCTGGTTGTTCCCCGACAAAATGTCTGCATAGCCCTAGCAGCTGATTACTCAGCGCCAAACCTCACTTGAGTCTGGATGCCTGAACTTGCCTCTGGGATTGTATCCAGAGTTGATGGAATGCTACCCGGGGTAGCTCAGGCCTGGGTAGACAGGGCCTTCGAGAGATCAAGGACTTCCCCAGAACTTATAAGGGATGTGGGTAGAGAGGAGAAAGGCCAGAGAAGACACACGTTGACTTCCTGCTTCCAAGGAGATGATGATCCACCTACTCTGTCTCCTCCCCTGATCAGCTTTCTAGTCCTGCCTGGCACCCAACCTCAACTCTTTCCCTTGTAGTGGTGGCAGATCTCCTCTCAGCTTTCTGACCTCAGGGCCACTGAAGCCTCTTCCTTCAGAAAAGCATCCTGCAGGTGCTTCCCACCCCCAGTTCACCTGAGATAACCCTTTCCTTGCCAGGGCTCATTTGGCCTGGGCAGAGGTGGAGGGGGTGACGGTGCTGAGAGGACACTGGCAGCGAAAGGGAGGAGGCAGGGGGCTGAGACCAGCATGTGGGGATGGGCTTCAGGCCTCTGCAAAGTCTCCTCTAAATCCTGTCCTCAAAGTACCTGATTTTTAAGGGTCTATGCAAATAGCCCCTATTCCAAGAGGTGAGTAATGTTTTAACAATGGTGCTGGGAAAGAAAAATTCATTGACCCCAAAGTATTTCTTTTTCATATCTTCCCTTCTCTTCCGTCTGTCTCCTGGCTTCTCCCTTCCAAGAAGGAGTGAAGAGGAGGGGCCCTTCAGCTCTAGTCCCTCCCCTCTCCAGGCCTTGCCCTGACTCCTTTCTCTGGGTAGCATTGCTGCTGGACCTGGGGCAGCCAGGGAGAAATTCTGTCAGTGAGTCTCTGGGCGACTACTGTCTCTTCCCTTCCAAGATGAAAAAATAGAGAAAAGGGACTGCCTCCTCATGCCTCCCCTTCCGCCTTTCCTGGCCAGCTCAGATTGGTTGGGATGGGGGTGGATTAAAGGTTCTTCTACCCCAGATCTCAAAATACAAAGGCCTCAGACAAATGCACAGAGACAGGCAGATGCAAGGACCCAGGCACAGGGACATCATAAGTGCACACACGTTGCCAAAAAGAAGGTGCACGCACAGACAGGCAGACACACAAACCAGCGTACGTTGAGTGGGCAGAGCCGCACACGGAGACACGTAGGCACGGGTGTAGGAAGCCTTCCATGAAAGTACATAGACATATACAGAGAAATACACTCACAGGTTGTGTACTCACAGAGAAACACGCCACAGAGGGATGAACCAAGAAGGAAATGCCCGGGGACTGGAACATCCCCAGAAATACAGACCGTCTTCCCTGTGTGCAGGACAGGGTGGGATGGGCAGGGCGGAGGGCAGGGCAGGTCCCTATCTCTCTCTCTCTTCTCCCACCCCTTCTCATTCCCACCCCCTTTTCCTGGTGGTCCATCTCCTATTTTCTGGGAATATTTCCCTGGTAAGCAGTTGGGGAGGGAGGCTGAAAGCACACAGAACCTGATAATTTAATTATGAATTTATTTTCTTTGTTCTCTGAAGCCTTGCCTGCTTCCTTTCCTGAGGTCTAGCAAGAGCTCCTGTCCCAGCCCTTCCCGGCACATCCCCCAACTTCCAGATGTGGCCATAGACTGGCACAGGAACCCAAAGGCTGTCCTCTTGGGTGTCTCCAGTGATCCTTCTGCTCCACCACCCTGACAGCAACTCCAACACCAGGGAAAGAGGAGGGGGCCTGGAATCACAAGGTGGTCAGGAAAGCTCTGCTGTATTACTTCTTGCTTTGACCGTAGGCAAGTTACACATCCTCTCTGAAGCTCAGATAATTTCTCTTCCTAAATTCTCCGTGTGCGCATGTGTGCACGTGGGGTGTGTAAGGGATTGATGTGTATCCACCACCACTTTCCACTCCAGTTTGGGACATTGTAAAGCAGAGTCTGTCTCTCCCATCAGACTTGGGGCTCCCCGAGAACAGGGCTTTGCTTCCTCCATCAGATTGGATGCTTTCTGCAGCTCTTTTCAACCCCAGAGTTTGATGTCTTTAAGATGCTCAGCCCCGTTGGCGTCCTGGGGGACATGTCTGGCCAGCCTAGGAATGAAAGAAGTTGGCCTCAAGCTTCCTTTAAACGTCAAGTTTTCTGATTCAGCTCCTCAC